AGAAGAGATTCTCCTAATGTGAAACAACATCAAAAGCGACATACAGGTTTGCCGAGGGCCCTCTGTTGCAGCAGATTCTGACGCAGAGTGATGCAATAACCCCTACCACGACGAAGATAAGGGTAGTCACCAAGAAACCCATCTCAAATTCGTTTTCCCAACACTATAAGAATCTGATACTGTTACCTGCCAAATTGATTGGATGAGCGAAAAATTATCAGGCAGATCCCATTTAGTGCGTGAAACATCATATAACTCGGAAGATGATCGGAAATTACAAACGAGATGGATTAACTGATGGTGCACAGATCTTCAATAAGGACACTCGAGATTATCAAATAGATAACAAGTCATTAGCAACAAAAAGGCGATCATCACATACCAGAGAAATCCGGCGACCAGCGAAGCTTCCCGGTGAACAATTGAAGCTGCTCGATCCAGCGCGTCGCTGCAAGATTCAGTTTCTTCCCAGCCAATGGTTACCCCTTCAATTAAAATTAATTTGGGCCTTACGTTGACATCGAACTACATTTGGGCCTCTCAAGTTAGAAACCAAATAAGTAGAGAAAATTACTCCCTCCAAGTGATTTTTATTGCACAATTAAATATATTAGAGAAATGTTATAGGTACATAATATTGTACATAAATGTATACATAACACTCACATTGAGTAGAATCGAGCAAACATAAAAAATCAAGTGGACCCCACTCTATGCGAGTGTTATGTACGCCTCTAGATATATTTATTATGTACTTAGCATTTTCCAACATCTTATGTAAATAATAGCAATATAATGGTAAATTAAATTTTACTAGTACAACGCCCGTGTATTACACGGGTGCTTGCTAATTTTTTTTTAAAAATCTAAAATAATAAGAAAAAGTAGTCGAAATTTAAATACTTTTTATAAATGTGTATATATATATATATATTATTATATATTTAGTATGACATTTTTTATTTGTGCGACTTACCTGTGTTATATTATATTTACTTTTTTAACTTATATATATAACTACTTTAAGCATAAATGTATCAATTGAGAAATAATTTTATTTTTTTATGAATTTTAATAAATATTATTATTTTTTATTATTATAAAGATAAATATAATTTATTTATTTCATATATACAATATGGATGTCAAATCGAAGATCATCAAAAGATGATTAATTTGATATATTATATATGTAAAACCGATAAGAAATAAAAAAAGTTATCGACTTTTTAAAATAAATTTACAATTCCATAGCTAATTGAAGGAAACAAATCAAAAGTCGGGGATATATTAGTCACTTAGTGACTCACTATGTATAATTACAAAAAATTAAAGGGTTATATTAGTACAAGTGATATTAAAATACCCAAGTTAGCTAAATATTATTTATAGAATGTCCGAACTTAGATTATTAATTATTATTAACATATTAATATTATTTGTTCAAACCTAATCACGAAGCATGATTTTTCGCCAAGTAGGATTTCGAAGCACCAGAAGCAGCCACATAAGCTCAGCACGTTCGGAATTATATATAGGGGTGATGATTTGCATATACACCACAATCAATTAAACAATAATTTATTTCATTAATTAAAGAAACCTATCAGTTACCAAAAAATTATCCCCATGGCATATGGTAATAGATTTTTTTCCCACGTCATAAACCGTCCACAAAATCGGAGATCGAGTTCTCCTCATATGGTATCAAGTTATTGTTCATGAAAGTTTTTTATTTCCTATCTATTATTTTTTTGTTTAACCAGATATGGTGACCATAGAAGTTTTTTTAAAAAAATTAAAAAAAAAAAACCAGACATGGTGGCTACCAGATATGTTCCAAACATCTTAGTAGCCGTCATGCGATCTTTTGTGTGGGAGGCTTGTTCTTCTATGGCGGCGGCGAAACTATAAGCCGCTTTTTTCGATCCATATCATTGCTTTTGCAAAAAGAAAACGATGGACTCCGGCAACTACACTTCCATCCCCTCCTCCTTCTTAGCGAGGAGGTCAAGATGGAGAGGACGAAGGCGGGACCCGAAGCTCGGGCTTGTTTAGATGTCGGCAATATATGTTGCAGTATAGACATTGTATGTTGAGTATATAGACAATATATTTTCAATTTATAGATGTGTATGTTGTGTTGTGTATGTTGTATAGACAGTATATTTTCAAGTTATGTTGTATATGATGTGTATATTGTGTATATGTATACAAGAAATAAATCTGTAATCTAGTATGTATACAGAAAATACACGGTTAATATACCGAATAATAATACATTGTACAAAATAATTCACAAAATAAATATAATTTCAATTTTAAATTCAATATCCTCCTGTTTTATATTGAACTAACATCCTAATTTGTAGGGTATATAAATTTTAAACTTATCATTTATATTCTTTTATATTATATAATTTAAATAGGAATTCTATCCACTTTAACGCTATTTGGAAAATGCATGCACAAACCATATGAATTCCAATATTACT